GCGGGGGTCCTTATTATAGTTATAGTATAATATGCATACCCCAAAGCCTTATTTTAATTATTAGGGCTCCTACATTAAACCCTAACCTGAACCCTTTGAGGACAGCGAGGGTCATTCGCCTCGATCCAGCACTGAGATACGAAAGGGGCAGCCCCTAAGGCTCACACTAGCCCAAAAGCCTTTCATAGGATGGTCTTTGAGCCCGAAAGCCTTAAATATATATATATATATATATATGACTCCTGAGCGCCTTACAGACTGGGTTGCAACGTCATGGTACAGGGTTTAGGGACCACGGAGGGTCCCAGAATTTATGCTGGAGGTTTCCTTGTCAAGCTACACCTTTCTAAACGTGTTTATGCCACTTCTATGAAGCCTGTCCACCCATAATCATCTAGACAGGGCTTTAGGGTTTTCGGGTTTAGGGTTTAGGGTTGATGGGTTTAGGGTTTAGGGGGCTACATTCTAGACGCCATGCTCTGTGAACTTTGCAGACCAGAATGCTTGCCCCCCCCTTAGAATGCCCAAAGCCCAAAACCCAACCCCAATCCCTATACCCAGTACACCCTAAACTCTAAACCCGAAACCCTAAACTATAAACACTCTAAACCCGAAACTATAAACAAAAAGCCCTAAACTCTAAACCTTACGCCTTAAGAACCCAATACCAGAAACCCTATGAACCCTCGTCCGAATCCTCGGGAGACTGAGGCCCATCAATCTGGAGCAATCCGACGGAAGCGACACTGGGCATACACTACTTGTAGGGGTTTAGGGGTTCGGGTTTAGGGCTTAGGGGGGCCATTCTTTTAACTATTGTTTGGGTGTTTAGGTAGGGGTTGAGGGCTCCCAGAGAACCCAATACCCCTTAATTAAGGACTATACTTTAAATCAGACTATTAAGGCCCCGATAATTTAAGGTATATTCCTTTTTTAAGGGGTATTGGGTTCTTTGGGAACAAGGGTTGATGATATAAATCCTGCATGACCCATAATAATAAGGAATCTACGATACTTCCCATAGTTTCGGGTCGTTAAGGTAGTGCCCTAAACCCTAAACCCTAAGCCCTAACCATAATTCCCTTAGTTTAGGGTCCTTAAGGTAATGCAGGATTTGTATCATCAGCAGTAGGGTTTAGGGTTATTTAGGGTGTGTATGGGCTTTAGAGCTTTCGCTTCCCTTCGGGGGTCCCTGTCGTAGGCGACTTTGCATCTTGTTTGTTGCCTTTCTCTGGTCCCTAAAGCTTTAAGCCCTAAACCCTAAACCTTTAAACCCTAAGCCCTTATCCCCAAAACCGTTAAACCCTACACCCTGAAACCCTAAACCCGTCGGGTTTGGAGTTTTCGGTGATTTGGGGCATTGGGAATTCCAGGTTTCAAACCTTAAGGTTTAGGGGTTTAGGGGATTAGGGTTTAGTAGGGTTTAGTAGGGTTTAGGGGTTAGTTGAGGGGTTTAGGGTTTAGTCCAGGACATTTTCAGGTGGGTAGTTAGTTACCGTTATAGGAGCCTTATAGAAGGTCTACATACCTTATAGAAGCCTTATGGAAGCGTTATATACCCTAAACTCCCCACCTGTAGTTTCCTTTGATTTAGAGGTTTAGGGGTTGAGGGGTTTAGGGCTTATCTATTAAACCCTAAGCCGGTAAACCCTAAACCCCTAACTCCTAAACCCTAAACCTTAAACCCTAAACCCTAAGCCCCCTCTAAACCCCTAAACCCTAAACCTTAAAGCCTAAACCCTAAACCCCATCTAGACTCCTAAACCCTAAACCCCTAACTCCTAGACCCTAAACCCTGAACCCCTAACCCCTAAACCCCTAACCCCTAACACTCCTAAACCCTAAGCCCCTAACTCCTAAACCCTAAGCCGTCGTCTCTTAGGTGCCGAGCTGAAGCCCATTTCGCCCGAGCTGCTCTCGGCAGCCGCTGCGGCGAAGATCGAACTCCAGAGCGCTCCTCGGCGCTCAAGGCAAAGGCAGAAGCCCAGAGAACCCAATACCCCTTAAAGAAGGATTATACCGTAAATTACAGGGCCCTGAAACCCTAAACCCTAAACCCTTTCTTAAATTATAGGGCCCTTAATAGTATGATGTAAGGTATATTCCTTATTCAAGGGGCATTGGGTTCTCTGGGTACCTCAACACCCCAAAACAGAGTTAAAAGAATGGCGCAGCGCCTGCAAAAGTCCACTGTTCTCCATGTTTTTGGGTTTAGGGTTTAGCGTTTAGGGTTTAGGGGTTTAGGGTTTAGGGTTCGGGGTTTAGGGTTTAGGGTTTTAGGGTTTAGGGTTTAGGGTTTGGGGTTTGGGGTCCAGGTAAAGACTAAAACCTAACAGCCGGAGAGTTGGAACATCGGCACCCTACCTGGACCCTCCATCTACCCTCCAGAAGACCCTGAATACCCATTTTTGGGACGATATAACTCCTATTTCAGGGTACAAGCAAGGTCTTGGTATACTACTTTCAAGGTAACAGTACAGGGCCTCGTGGTATTACCCTAAGGGTCCATGTACCCAAATAGTATATACTTTGTCCTTAAACTAGTCCCTATATAGGTACTTTGGGGCCAATGTATCCCTATGAGTACATGGACCCTTAGGGTTAGTCATCCTGACTCCATGTTCCAACTTTTCTTGCGGTGGTAACGAAGACCCGCTACGGGGGGTTTAGGGTTTAGGGTCGAGGGTTTAGGGTTGTGGGGGTTTTGTGGGATGTTTCGGTTTCGGATTTGGAGATTTCGCGTTTAGAGTCTGTTTCAGGTCCTGGGGGCCTTGTAATTTGAGAGCTCTGGGGTTGAGGGTTTGGGGCTTTAGGGTTTTAGGGGTTTTAGGCTTAAGAGTTTAGGAGTTTCGGGCGTGCGAGGTTTAGGATTCTAGGATTTTTTGGCAATGGGGTCTTCCTTGAATCATCCCTAAAATTGAAACCTAAACCATGGAGGTATCCTTAGTATGACTTGAGATGTGTACCTGTTGCCCCTCAACCTAAACCCTAAACCCCTAAACCCTAAACTCTAAATCCTAAATACTAAACCCTAAACCCTAAACCCTCCACCGGGTGGGCTTCAGCACATCCAAGCCTGAGCTCTGTTGGTTAAGGGGCTGTGATGGCCCAAGTGTGGTTTAGGGTTTAGGGGTTCAGGGTTGAGGGGCATTGGGATCTGCCATGCAACTGTTTAGAGGTTTATAAGAGGGTCGTATAAATAAGTACCAAGTAGCAAACTCTAGACTCCAAGCCCAAGGCCCTAAACCCACAACAAGAACCCTAAACCCTTATAAACCCTAAACCCTAAACCCTAAACCACGCTTCAGATCACCGACGGGCCGAGGTGATTCCTGGACCTGACCCTGCAGCCAACGAGTCGTATCTCTGGTATCTTGCGCCTGGTTGGGTTTAGGGCCTATGGTGCAGGGTTTCTATCGTTTTGTAGCAACCCTAAGCCCAAAACCCTAAACCTGAACCCTAGGTTCAGGGTTTGGGGCTTCGGCTTTTTAGGATTTCGGGCTGTAGGGTTTAGGGTGCCCCAGAACCTTATCTTCTCGAAACCCGAAACCCTTACTATAGAGCCCTTCAAGAGCCCTTCTAGAACCTTAAACGGATTCCTCACACAGACCTCATAGAATCCCTTTGCGAAGCTCGTAAATTGCCTAAATGAAACCTGAAAGGAATCCGGAGTACCCCTAAACCCTAAACCCTGAACCCCAAACCTCTGGACCCTAAACCCCTACACCCTGAACACTTGAAGGAATCCATGGGAATCCGAAGTTGTCCCTTTAGGGTTTAGTAGGGGTTTAGGGTTTAGGGGTTTCCTAACCCCCTCATCCCCAGACCCTGAGCCCCTAAGACCCTTACGCCCCTAAGCCACAAACTTTTGCAAGGAAACCTAAACCTCACAAGCCCTAAACTTTGAGCCCCAAACCCTGAAGCCTAAACCCTAAACCCCTAAATCCTTAGACCCTGCAGCCCGAAGCCCTAAACTCTTTTTTAAACTGTCCCTAAGGGTCCACTCATAGAGTATATACACTGGCCCTAAAGTACCTATATAGGGACTACTTTAAGGACAAAGTATATACTATTTGGGTACATGGACCCTCAGGGGTAGTACCTTGCTCCCTAACCCTAAACCCTAAACCGCAAACCCTAAACCCCTAAATCCTTAAATCCTTAAGCCCTAGACCCTGAACTCTTTTAAAAGCCAGGTACCACACCTCCGTTCGGTCCGCGTTGGCCCTGGCGCAGGGCTATGGCTGGGAGGAGCTGGCTAGAGGCTTGCTTGCGCTTAAGATGAGGGTTTAGGGTTTAGGGTTTAGGATTTAGGGTTTAGGGTTTAGGGTTTAGGGTTTAGGGTTGAGGGTTTAGGGTTTAGAGTTTAGGATGGGGCTTGGAAGAAGGCCGTTTGCAGGGTTAGGATTTAGGGTTTAGGGTTTACGGATTAGGGTTTAGAGTTTAGGATTTAGGGTTTAGGGTTTACGGGTTTAGGGTTTAGGGGTTTAGGGTTTAGGGTTTAGGGGGATCTATATTAGTCTGTAATATTCTATAGCACATGATATATGGGGGTTCGGGGTATCATGGTTTAAGATGGGGCTCGGAATATTACCTTCAAAGGGAGCTATAATCTGCGAGGGTGTTGGGGTATCGGTATGGGGGGAGCTGATATAAAGACCACGAATTTGTTCGACACGTTTGCGGTTTGGGGATTTAGGGCCGCTATACTTAACACGCTATAGAAGCTTCTAAAGCTCGAAAATCCCGGCACAAAGGCGTGCTGATCATCTTGGTGATGTTCGTTCGAGGTGTGCCAAGTGAATGCAAATTTCATAGTGATCATCCCAATCAAATCAATGATAGTACATAAGTTTAAGAGCTTGCATCCTCCAACATGCCCTCTGAGAGAGTTGTCGCAGGTGGCCAAAGCGGGAATCTTGGCTATACGATGTTTAGGGTTTACCTGGACCCCAGTGTATGTAGACGATAGCATTTTCTAGGTGTTGGGCCACTACCTTACCTACTTTGGCGGGTTTAGGCCCAACATACATGTGATTTGCCTGCAGGTCGTGTAACCCTTGAGCTCAGGCAAATGATTGAGATCACGATAAGGGTCATAAACCCTAAACCACCTAAACCCTAAACTCTAAACCCTAAACCCTGCAACCTGAACATGGGTAGACAGGATCCTGCACACACTGCTGGTATGGTTTTGTTCCTTATTCGGGGTGCTTCAGCATTCGGTCCATCAGCAGTAGGAGGGCACTTCTCTGTACCTTCAGTAGAATGTGCCCAGAATGTCGTGAAACGGCATTTTGCTGGGAGCTCCTTGAGGGACTTGTCGGCATCATGGTCATGACTTCAGATTTCTGGAAATGACATCGGAGAAAGCGTCCATGAAGATTAGCATCACCATCATCACGGTAACCTACAGCAGAGGGTTCAACCACCCATCCACAAGACCAGCAACCAGCAGCATAATCGTAACGAGCCTAGGCATGACGATGACAACAAAGATCTTCGACCACTTGTCTAGGACATTTTCAGGTGGGTAGTTACTTACCATTCTAGGAGCCTTATAGAAGGTTTATATACCTTATAGAAGCCTTATACACCCTAAACTCCCACCTGTAGTTTCCTTTAGCACTTGCAAACCATTACGGCGGCGCCGAGGCGACGCTCTACTCCCACTACTAAACCCTAAACCCTAAACCCTAACCACACATCCGAGGTCCATTCGCCTCACCGAAAGCTGTGCCCAGGCCCGATGAACATAGGGGCCTTCATAACTCGAATAGGGTTTGGGGTAGATTCTACCAAAATTATTATAAGGAATCCCCAGTTTGGGGTAGATTATACCAAAATTCTAGTAAGGAATCCCCAAAACCCTAGTCTAAGTCTTAAGGCCCCTACACCCTTAGCCCCTTATAGTAGCCCCCTGAGAGAACCCTCTAAAGGAACCCCCAAAATCCGATTCTAGTCATTAAGGCCCCTACATCAACTACACGTTTCTGGGGTTGAGGGCCTGAGCCGGGCCCATGAATCTTGGTAGGCTTTACCCAGAGAGCCCAATACCCCTAAAATATGGAAGATGCCTTGAATCATAAGATTAGGGCCCCTATAGTTTAAGGTATATTCCTTATTTATATTTGGGGTATTGGGTTCTGTGGGTATAGATTTCTGGAACACGAACGCGCATCGGGTTCAGGCGGAAGGTGTGTGGCACAGGGGGCTGGTTTGGTGATTCGTTCTGGCCAGGGAGAGCCCTCACCTTAGCCTCAGCCTGATTTCAGGCTGCCAGCTAGGCTCGTATCATCTTTGGCTCGGGATCTATACTTTGTTTGGCATTTAGGACCCCTGGAAAGTATCGAGCGCCCAAAGGACAAAGCTTCCAACAACAATCATCCTGGAGCCTTAGATAGACTTGAGGAAGTTCTCTTGAACCCACCATGCCCTGAAATGTCTGTTTTAGGATTTAGGGCTTAGGAATGCTTAGGAAAGTTCTGGCTCAGGGTGTTCGGCCTCTTCGAGTTGGGGGCTGTGGGCTTGTACTACCCTAAGCCCTAAACCGTGTCTGGGCTTTGGAGTACCATGCTTTAGTGTTTTTTTGACCTGTTCCTCAAAGGAACCATTATGAAATAGAAGTCTATACTTTTTTCTCCCTGGTTACCTAAACCCTAAACCCCTAAGCCCTAAACCTTAAACCCTAAAGCCCTAAACCCTAAACCCTAAACCCTCAAAACCCTAACAAAGCCCAGGTGTATTTCCTTCAGTATCACGGGAGATGGGTCTGCTACAATGTTCCGCTTGTGCAGGGATCAGGGTCTGGGGCATTAGGTTTTAGGGTTTAGAGTTTAGGGTTTAGGGTTAGGGTTTGGGGTATACATATATATATATATATAGATATATATTGATATTGTGTAGATGAAATAAGTAGGTAAACATATTTGTGTATAATATACACGGATGAGATGGACAGAGATGGAAGGGTTGGGGGATCAGTTCTTCTATCACATGGGCTCCGAATGTCAATCCTGTTCACCCACCGCCTCAAGTATACAAACAGTACCTACTTTGGGGCTTAAAGTCTGTATGTGGTACCTACTTTGGGCTATTTGGAGCCCCCGCGTTCGACCAGCTTTAGTAAACGCTGGCCCAACGTTGAGGACGGATGCGGCCCTGTGGCTCTAATTTTAAGACTCCTAGTTTTCCAAGACCCAACCTTTAAACTTTTGGGGTTAGTATATTTTAGTATCAACCTGAAAGTTTAACATTTTATTTCCCTGCCTTTTGTTGAAGTAAGGACTCTGAGCCATGTAAACCCAGCACGAAGTCGTAAAGCCCCACTCCCTAGGCCGTAAACCCGATGAAGCCAAATCCTCAACCCTAGGCCCTAGACAAGCACCCAACCGCTAAACCCTAGACCCCTAAACCCTAAACCCCTAAACCCTAAACCCTTAAACAACCCGGAACCCCCAAACCCTAAACCCTTAAACCCGAAACCACCAAACCCGAACCCCCTAAACCCCAACACCCTAAACCCCTAAACCCCTAAACCCTAAACCCAGAAGACCTAAACCCCTAAACCCTAAGCGTAAAAACCCTAAACTCTAAACCCTAAAGGGCCCGTTAAAACAACAAAAAATAAAAACTAAACCCCTAAACCCAAACACCCTCGTCGCAGGTGGAGGATGTCGGCCCAGATCGCTGTGGATACTACGCCGGGATAAGTGCTCTGCTCCTTTGCCGCTTGGCTTACCCTAAGGGTCCAAAGGACCCAATAATCAGGAACTTAGGTTTCGGACGAATTAGTAGTTATGTAGGTTACTATTTGGGAGAGTTGATGATTATTAGGTACTTGGACCCTTAGGGTTAGGGTTTAGGGTTTAGGATTGTGCTTAGTTTTGGGCGGACTTGAAGGCCCCAAAAACTGAACCCGAGGAGCTAAACCCATGGATCCTAATGAGAACCGGTGTTTATGTTCAGAGTTTGGGGTGCAATTACTTTGTCTAGGAATGCTTCGGGCTTAGGGGACTTGCACAAATCACCCTAAACCCTAAACCCTAAACCCAGTCTTGGAAAACCATGATCTCTGATAGTTCAGGTCGTGTCTGCGTTGGAAAGTTCTGCTACATGGCCGAGACCTGGCTGGCCAGCGTTAGGGTTTAGGGTTTAGAATATGTTCATTAGGGTTTGGTGTTCAGGTAGGGGTTTAGGTTTTAGGGTATTAGTCATGCTACATTTGGGGTACAGGTACCGTAGCTCGCCTAGGGTTGAACTCTCTAAGTACCAGTTCCGTCCCAAGCCTGAAAGCCCTAAACCCTAAGCCCCAACAACCATGTGGGGGTTTCAGAAAATAGGGGACCCTAATATAGTACCCTTCATAATAGGATCCTTATTACAAGGACCCCAAAGTAAGGTACCCCTAATTTTCGGAAACTCCCATGTAGAGCTGAACTCTGAACCCGAATGTTGGGCCCCCTTATGGTCCCTACCTCGAGTCTGCCTCTGTCTGAAGGTCTACGCTAAGGAATTAGGGTTCAGGGTCCAGGGTTTCTAAGGGTCCATGTGCCCAAATAGTATATACTTGACCCTTAAAGTACCTATAGAGGGACTTCTTTAAGGACAAAGTTCATACACTCCGAAACCCTAAACCCTAAACCCTAAACCCTACGGGTACATGGACCCCTGGGGCAGCAGAGTCTCGGTTCAACCTGGTATTCTGCTGGTATAACTCATCACGGTTTCGGGTTTAGGGTTTAGGGTTTAGGGTTTAGGGTTTATTCTCAGACCTCTAGTCTAATGAAGGCCTCTGCCACGCCTGTCACAAAGCCCTCAGGCCCATCTTAAACCCTAAACCCAAACCCCCTAAATCCAAACCCCGAAAACCTCTAATATGGGGGCCTTAAGAGTACTAGTTTGTGGGTTCCTTTTTATAGTTATCGTATAACATGCCCCAAAACCGTGTTCCAATTATCAAGGCCCCTACCTAAACCCCCTAAACCCTGAACCTTACTAAGCCCAAACCCCGAAAAACCCTAACTAACCCCTAAACCCCGAAAGCCCTAACTAAACCCTAACTAACCCCCAAACCCCGAAAACCCCTCTCTTAAAGGAAACTACAGGTGGGGAGTTTAGGGTATATGGGGTTTAGGGTTTTAGGGTTTTGGGTTTTGGGTTCAGGGTTTAGGTGTGGAGTTTAGGGTATATAGGGCTTCTATGACGCTTCCATAAGGTATATAGACCTTCTATTAGGCTCCTATAACAGTAACTACCCACCTGAAAGTGTCCTCCGACTTCCAAGGATGCCGGTGCCGAAGCTAAGAAAGAGGTGGACTCGGGTGAGTTCGACAGCATTCTCGAGGAGATGTGGCTTCGGGTTTTAGGCTTAGGGTTTAGGGCTTTGGGGGTTGAGGGGTTTAGGGTTTTAGGGGTTTAGGGCTTTGGGGGTTTGGGGTTTAGGGTTTAGGGGTTTAGGCTTGGGGTGTAGGGCTTAGGGCAGCAGCACAAGGCTTTGGGTTCAGAACTTGGACTTCGGGGCTGTGCGTGTAGAGTTTGGAGTTCAGGGTGTATATGGAGGTTTCCGAAAATTAGGGTTTAGGGTTAAGGGTTTAGGGTATAGGGTTTAGGGGTTTAGGGTTTACCCTAAACCCGGCACCAATCGTTTTGTCCATAGCCTCGCTGCACAGCCTCCGAGCTTTGATAGATAGCCATCCTACGGCTCGGCACTCGCAACGCCTAGCTGCGATGCTGAAGATCCTCCAGGACACATGGGAATCCCTAAACCCCTAAAACCCAAAACCCTAAACCCCTAAACACCTAAACCCTAAACTAAACCCCTGAACCCTAAACCCTACCTGAACCCGAAACCCCAACGCTGGTCGAGGCCTTTGCCGAAGGAAGGAGTGTGATGCGAGACTTCCAAGGCAAGGCTTGTGGGGGCGAGGGTGCGGCTGAACCTCCAAGAAGTACCGCTGGCGAAGGATGCGGCTGAGATGGAAGCACCTTCCCTGCGTGAGCAGATGCGGAAGCTCCTGGACGAGAATGCCCTAAACCCTAAACCCTAAACCCTAAACCCTAAACCCAAAGGCGCGCCTTCAGGAAAAGACCGCGTAGCTCAACTGGGCCCTGGAAGCGCTCGCATGGGCCGAGGACCTCGATCAGGGCTACAGGATGCGTGAGAACAAAGAGCAGGAGCCCTCAAAACAAAAAACCCTAAACCCGACCCCAAAAGAAGGTAGGGTTTAGGGTTTAGGGTTTATAGGGTTTATAGGGTTTAAGGGTTTACGGTTTAAGGGTTTAGGGTTTAGGGTTTAAGGGTTTAGGGTTCTCAAGCTCGAAGCCAAGGATCCCTGTAATGCCAGGCTTGTCGGATGAGAACTCTTCAGCGCTAGTGCTAGAAGATCTGATAGGATTTCAATAGCAATGAAAGAGTAATAAGCGCTTCAACCCTAAACCCTAAACCCTTAAACCCTAAACCCTAAACCCTAAAACCCAAGATTTATTTGAACGGGGTTTCTGAGTTTTCGGTGCAGGCCTGATGCAGCCAGAGGAGCTACAGTTCATCAAAGATTTACGCAGAAGAACCCTAAACCCGGGCCTAAACCCCTAAACCCTGTATTATACTAAACCCTAAACCCTAAACCCTGAACACTAAACCTTAGACCCAAACAACACCAAGCCCTGAGCCAGAAAGCTGTTCTACCTAGACCTGGGCCGAGACTCCCGAAATCTTGCGCACCCCTTACACTTGCGCTGTCTCGCACCCTCCACAAACCCTAAACCCTAAACCATAGACCCCAAACCCTAAACCGTAAACCCAAAACCCAAAACCCTAAACCCCAAACCCCAAACCTTAAACCTTAACCCTTAAACCCAAATCCTAAAACCCTAAACACTAATCCGGTCATGGGTTTGGAGGAACCAGGTCCGATCTTCGTGAGTTATGTTGACAGACCCTAATGTAGGTGCTTAAATAACTACCTATATTATTTTGGGGCTTAGGGTTTTAGGATTTAGGGAATAATTACCTATGTGATTTTGGGGGGTTCAGTTTAAAAACTGTAGTATAATGGGCCCCAAAGCCCTGTTCAAATTATTAAGGCTAAGCCCCGAAGCCCAAACTCTAAACAGCGCACACACCAATCCTAACCCTGAAACCCAAACTCTCATGTTAATCATCCTATTTCTAAACCTTGACCCACCCTTTGTAAGCCCTGAACCCTAACCCAAAAAATCATCCCCAACATTGACAGCAGCTGACATGAGGACAATGCAACACGCCGCATAATCGTCTTCGACGATGGGCAGGCCAGAAAGGTTACTGCTTGGAGGATCGTGGGACCTAGTAAGTAAAGTTATGCGTACCTCCATTGGGGTTGTATGTAGATCTAAGTATATTTCCGTTATTTATAACTTTAGTTTCTAAGTTCCATGATCCTTTCAGGGGGGTTTAGGGATTCCGGGCCTTTAGCAGTTGCAGGGGTTTTGGCGGACTCGGCCTGCTTTGGGCCTTATGAGCGGTTGTTCGGTGTTTCACAGGATTGGACAAGGGCTTCTGTACTGATTATCAAGGGCTTACGGGCTTGGGGTTTGCGGGTCTCACAGGTTTGAGGGTTTAGGGTTCTGGTGTTCGTACGGTGCCCGTGTCTTAGTGTTGTTTCGGGTTTAGCAGTTGTGTTTGCTTTTTTGTTTCGCGATATCTCTCAGTGGCTGATGACATGAATCCTATGCCCCGCTGTCTTGCTCTAGCTACCTCGAGGTTCAGGGTGCTTGCATGGGGCTGTATCGTTTAGGACTGGTGACCTACATAAACCGAAGCTGCGGCCGTAGATTCCAAATTTCCCGGATCGCCAATCCTCCACTCCAAATTCCAGTTTCTGTGATATGGTTCGAAAAAACATTGGAAAGCTGAACCCCCAAGCCCTGAAGTAATTCAACATTGTTAAAGGTCAGAAGAGTGTTGTTGGGGTGTGAGCTAGTATTTCGGTATGGGCACTCCAAGGGAGGCTGCTATTGCTAATAGTTCAGAACCGATGTGAAACCCTAAGCCCCCAACCGCCCCTTGACCTCTAACCTCTGAGCCCCGCAATCTGCTTAAGGCCCTAAACCCTAAACCCCGAACTCCTAAGCCCCAAACTCCTAAACCCGCAAACCCTAAGTTCTAGGCCCTAAAGCCTAAAACTCCAAAGTCTGCTCATCTTCCTGGCAAAGGTTCTTCCCGAGTACATTCTGCTCTGCTCGTCGATCGGACATGGGGAGGCAAAGCCTAACATTTTCGGTTTTGTCACGGCTGTATAACTGTACCGGGATTATCAAGGTTAGGGTTTTGTGTATGGAGTGTAGGGTTCAGGGTTAGGGATTGATGTTTAGTGTTCGGGGTGGGTTAAATGCAAGATGTAAGCATTTCATGCAGTTTTATGAGTGGTCTGCTGGGCTTTATACTTTATAGGGTTGTATAATACGGGCTTCGTAACGGAGTTTCAGGCATTTTACCGGGTTCTACGGGCTGCACATACAATCTCCGGGCCCTGCAAACCTGGGATTAGGGCCAACATTTTTAATCCGAACCCACCCCTGAAACCCAAAGCCCTAAACCCTAAACCCTAGAGCCTAAACCCTAAACCCCTAAACCCCTAAACCCGCCCAGGAGGGGTTCAGGTTAGGCCAGGCCCCACTCGCAGAGCTTGGTGGATTAAACCAAAACCGACGCCCTAAACTCTTTAGGGTTTAGGGTTTAGGGATCCTTGAAGGGTTCTTTAAGGGATCTATAATAGGGTTCTATAGTAGGGGCCTTAAGAACTCGGCTGTAAACTCTACACCCTGATTCCTAAACCTCAAACCCTGAACTCTCAACCCCAAGCCCTAATCCTTAGAACCCTACAAACCCTAAACCCCTAAACCCAAAAACAAAAAACCTAGAACCCACACCCAGAGAACCCAATAGGGGCCTTTAGCATTGATTCAGGTATAGTCCTTAGTTAAGTGGTATTGGGTCCTCGGGGAGCCCTCAACCCTTACCTAAACACCCCCAAAATAGTTAAAATAGTTAAAACCTTATCCTAGAACCCAACAGGTACTGCACAAAAAAGGCCTTTCCAAAAACACAACAAAAGTTAGAGCCCACAGAGCTTGATATAAGGAATATTCCTCAGTTCAGGGGTATTGGGTTATCTGGGCAGAGCTTGGAGGACACCTTTCTTTCCTCGCTGCGACTTGAGATGCCGATCTACTGGAGCAATCTCTCACGGGATCCCACTAGCGCTCCGCGGCTCAAAATAGGGCTGCGGGTTTGGGGTTTTGGGTTTTAGGGTTTAAGGTTTCGGGTTTAGGGTTTTGGGTTTATTTTGGATGTTGAGGGTTTTGGGTGTTGAGGGTTTAGGGTGTAGGGTTTCGGGTTGTGGGTCTTTAGGGTGTAGGGTTTTGGGTTTTATGTGTTGAGGGCTTGGGACGTAAGGTTTGGGGTGTTGAGGGTTTAGGGTGTAGGGTTTTGGGTTTCAGGGTTTAGGGCTTTAGGGTTTCGGGTTTAGGTTTTTGGGTTTAGGGTTTTGGGGCTAGGGTTTGGGGTGTTTTGGGTTCAGGGTTAAGCTGCTCAGGATTTAGAGTTTCGGGTTGAGGGTTTGGGGT